CCCCAAAACCCCAAAACCCCAAAACCCCGCCATTCCAGAGTAGAGAGATAAAGGTAATTAAAAGCTTTAAGATATTAGAATAAATTAAAGATATACATCATCACCGACGGCCTCATTCATATTTTAAGAGAGAGTCACTGTGAAATACGAGACATTTTTGCCTTATATAATGTTCATTAAGAGGTTTAATTGGATATTGGGCCCAAGCTTTTATTACTATTGCTGTTTCCCCCATTGTTTTGGTTGATGATCTTCTTCTTGAGTCTTTTACCAGCAGAATCACCCAATTCTGGCTGCTTGCCTCCCTCAAGAACTTAACCGTTTGTGGTAGATTCGTTCATGTTGTTCTCCTATTTGTTAAAATTAATATGCTTTTAATATTAATTGATGAGTACATAGTTCTAGCAGAAGTCGCATATCCAGGGTTCTTTCGAATTTTTCAACTCCTCAACTCTCTCAGGAGGTAAATTCATGCAATGAGGATGATACCAGCCCTCGCATGGCCCTAATAATGAAATTAATAATCGGTGATTAAATATAGAAGACTTAAAAAAATATGAAATTTAGAGGTTACCTTCACATTAGAACATTAGATTTCCATTTTTATATTCTTACTAGCAAATGCAGTAAAGCTTTTTATTCATCTCATTATAGTGTTTTGGACCTATAAGAATAAGAATTAGAAAAAGTTACCTGGGTTAGGCTCATCAATGATCGAGTCGGTGTCTCCCTCTTTATTAGATCGATCATCTTCTTGGGATCCCCCTTCGGACATAGGATGAGTACGTTTGGTACCTACCAACTTCCTAGCAAGTGTTTTAGGAAAGGATTTTGGCTTACTTTACTGATTTACCCTTTGAAGTAGAGTTTTTTGCATTTCCTCCGCTACCGGACCTTTTAATGCAGCTAAAACCATTTTGAGGGTTTTGACCTCCGTTGCTCTTTCTTGACAATGACCCTCCGACGCCATTGTACTTTTCTCCTCCACTTTCAGACTTGTTTGAGCCAATCCTGTTTAAATGAGTTAAAATAAGGGGAAAGGTGAACTCTTACTCTGGATCAAACTCCTAGACTTGATTGTTGGACACAAAGTTTTTTTTGTCATTATCTTAACCAGAATCACCATCGTAATTATAGGCTGGAATGTTGCCATTCAGTTAGACATTATAGTCGCGTAGAATGTCTTTCTCATTATGAAGATGATGCACATCTTGCCCTTTCATGAGTCTACTTGCATCCCTATCTCAGTTTTTATGCCTTGAATTTACTTACTTATCACTTAGGATAACAAAATCCTTTGGTCTCTTAAAGTAAGCCAGCTCAACCTTGTTTAGTTCTTTTTCATCAATCGCAACCACCAGCTTTGCTCTTAGAGTACCCCTGTCAGTTTTCCTTTCCTCTAGATAGGGCTTTTACTCACCATATTGTTGCTAATCCTCTAAGGGCTTTCCAGCAGTATTCTCAGAGGTTATCTTCTGCAATCTCTCCCTTTCAGACTCTAAGTCTTTTGACAGTGATTCAAGAATTACTTGAGCCCATTTGGCTGTAGTTCTGTCAGCCTGATCTTAAATCTTTATAAGAGGTTTAAGGATAAAGTGGGACTTGGAGTAATCTTACGAGTTTTTGAATCAGAGCCTTCTGGGTCTCTAAGTCTAGCTGAGATCGGAATCCAAGTATTTGATCCTGTATTTTTTGTTCTTACATTAAACAATAAGCTTTATATTTAAATTTATGAGTGAGCTGCTATAACTTAAGCAAGCTAAATTATTACTCTTCTATTATATTCTTAATAATTTCTGAATTTTTTTTTATGGGGTTTTGGGGTTTTGGGGTTTTGGGG